CCCCCCCCCACCCCCCACCTGTTTTCCAATATGAACGCACGACGCATGGAACAAGCGCTCAACAAGCTCACGCTTGCCCAGCTCAAAGGTCATCTGGAATTGGCCGTGACATTGGCGTGTGTTCAACAATCTTCCACGAGGTCATCGATGGGATGCTTCGTCGCGATGCTCCTTTGCCCGGCTGACGAAGCCAACAACGAGGCTGATAGTCCGTCGGGCCCGAGCCGTGGCGGTCCGTCGAGCTCGAGCCGTGACGCTCCCAACAACGAATCTGGTGGTACGTTGAGCGGCGCTGCCCTCAGACGAGGCCGCAGTGGCGGTCGCGGTCGCGATCGCGGTCGCGGCACTGGCCCTGTACCAGTGTCCCCTCAACAACGCACGGGTGCTTCGGGCAACCCCTTTGCATCACCTCTTGGTGCGCGCGACTCGCGAGGTCGCTTCACCTCTGGTGGTCGTGGTCGTGGTCGTGGTCGCGGTCGCGGTTCGCGCTGACAAAACATGGCGGGCGCCCCCATTCTCGTGAACTGAAAGATCAGCCGAGACCCTTGCTCTCACGCACGCACACGCGCGGTCGCACATGTAGCTATCCACCCACCAAGTTGAGACCTTGTCATCAATGTCTCCGCGCTTGATACCTTGCCTCTCGCGCGGACTCACGACTACTAATTACGGTGTCTCAGTCACCTCGCTGTTGAATGCACGCACCGCACGCTCTGTAATCGTCTCGTGTATCGTCAACATCAGCGCATCGGTTACGAAAAAAGGAGACGGTGTAATACATGTGGCGGATCGCGAAACACTATGCGCGCAAACGTGTACGTGCTCATGCCGCTGCTGCGCCGGCAGCGGCTCTCGAAAGCGCTTTCCTGGACGGCGCCAACGTCGCCCCGCGGTTCTCCTTTTCTTGACGCGCAGCAGACTGCTTGGTGGCGTGCCGTTCGACGATGGAGACGCCGTCTCTGAACCTCGCTCTGAAGAGGACATTCGCGTTGGCAAACAGACCCTCCGTGTGGGGCAAAAGAAAAGGCGCGTGCGTCAGTTTCGTGTCGCGGCAATGCGCGCCCGCAGTCGCAATGCAATACTCATTTTAGAGAGACGACGATGAATTGGGAGCCAGAAAAACGTCTGCCAAAGAGTTGTCCCAGATGCTGCGTGTGCGAAAGGTCGAGCGCAGCGTCGACCTCGTCCAGGATGTACATTGGCGCGGGCTTGAATTGCAACAACGACATGATGAGCGAGAGTGCAATGAGGGATCTGCCGGCGGCATGGGCCGTGGATATTCAGCTAAGCAGACGCGCGGGATGGGCGTTGGCGGTGAGCTCTTCAGATCAACGCCTCGCTTACCTCTGTCCACCGCTCAGTTCGGTCAAGCTCTGCTTCCAGACTTGACCCAGCCTAACCTTGACTTCGAGTCCTTGCGTAATGTCCATGCCTTCAGGCGGTTGCAGCTTTGCGTAATTGCCCGGCAAGAGCTCGTTGAAAATTTCGCCAAAGTCGCCATTGACCTTTTCCCACGTGGTCTGCAGCGCGTCGCGCTTGTATCGATCCAGCTCCGCAATCGTCTCTTCGATCTTGGATTGATCTTTTTGCACCGTCGACATCATCGTCTTGAGCTCCGTCTCCTTTTTCTCGACGCTGTGGTCGCAGCAGCAGACGTCAATCGCGTCGGCTCTGGTGTGCGCAAACACCGCCGCCGCAACTCACGAGTCGATCATGTTGAGGACCTTTGGGTTGACGCGCTTCTTCATGCCGCTCTGCTGCTCTTCTAGTTTCTTGCAAGTCCGCTTGACCTCGTTCATATTGTGCTTGCCAAAGTCGTACGCTGTGCCGGCTTTGCCAAAGTGACTGCGCGCGCGGGGTGCGTGGCGAGATGCATGTGCTCAGCGGTGGACCTGAACAGGTGCTTGGCCTTCCCCGACTCACTCTGCTTCATCAAGCATCCACTCGAACTGCACCTCCAACTGCTTGATCGTCTTTTCCAGTCCAGCACACTCCCCAGTGAGCTTTTCGATTTCGTGCTCGAGTCGCTTATCGTCCAGCTCCGAATCGGCAATTTGCTGGCGCTTGACCTTGGCAGCTTCCCGCAGACTGTCGAGCTCTTCGTCATAGCCGGTCAGCATGCTCTTCTCTGCTGCCACCTTGGCCTCCAACGAGTCTGCCTCGGTCTGCGCGACAGAAGTACGTCAGCGCGATGCGGCGGCGGCAACATCGACGGGACAGCAACGCACCTGCAAGTCCCTCAACGCAGCCTGCATGCCAGACAATTCCGACTTGCTTCGCTGAAGCTGCGCGCTCGCCTCCTCGAGAGACTTTTTCGCATTTTGCACCTCCAAGGCGGCCTGCTCCAACTCCAATTCAAGAGTCCGCACTTCGCTTTGGCGTATCTTGACATCGGTGCCATTCTTTTGCACGCTTGCTCTTCGCTTCTTAATGTCGGCTTTGAGTTGATTCAACTTGCTGTCCTTGTTCCTTTCAAACTCGCCCATCTCCTTTTCCAACCGCTTTGCTTCAGCGCTCGCCGTCTGTTGCTTCGTCTTGGCCGCTTCTATGCTCTGGCGCAACCCGGCAATCCCCTTTTTGAGCGTGTCCACTTCCGTGATGATTCGCGTGGCGTTGCTATTCTGCATCCTGCCCTCGAGAAGTTGCACGGCGTGCTGCTGAAGGTCTAGCTCCCGCTTCAATCTCGAATACGTCGCCAACTGATCTTGTGCTGCCTTGTTCTCCCCATCGATACGCGCCAGCTCACGTTTAACATCCTTCAGCTCCCGGTCGATGGCATTCAGCTCCTGCATCTTGACCAGCAAGCCGCCCGACTGAGGTTTGCTGCCGCCGGACAATGTACCCGCCGGATCGTACACGTCGCCATCGAGCGTGACGCTCTTCATCTTGACCGCGTCGTCAAAGGTGACCCTTTTGGCGGTATCCGCATCCTCGCAGACAAGAGTATTGCCAAACACGTAGGCCATCGCTGCCGAGACTTGCTCCTCGTAGCCGATGAGATGCAGGGCCAACTCGACTTTTCCGGGAGACAGCTTTTGAGCGGCGCCGATGCGTTGAGAAGCGGCAATTGTATTGCTGATCTTGTTTAGCGGTATCAGCGTGACGCGCTTCTTGAGCTGACCCTTGGCCAGCAATTGCGAGCCCACCTTTTCGTCTTCGACGACGACATTGTACAGCCTGCCGCCAGCGCAGATCTCCAGCGCGGTAGAGTATTTATGCTTGTCCTCGTCCAGATCAACAAGACTCGCAACAAGCCCCTTGACCCTGTTCCGATCAAAATTGGGCTCCGGATCGGCATAGCTGAAATCCGTGCCCGCCAAGCGCGACTTGAGTCGATCCCTCTGCTCGTACAGCGCAGACAGGCGCAAAGTGAGCGTCGACTTGCTGTTTGCCCGAGATTGCTCTTTCCCCTCATCCCAGCCGAGAGCAGCGAGCTTGTCGGAGAGCTTCGCAGCGGTGAATCTCGCCGTCTCGAGCTCCTCGATCAGACTTGCGCCTTCTTTCTCGGCCTTTTTCGCCAGCGGCTCCTTGCTCTTGCACTCCTTTTCCAAGTGTCCGATGCGCAGTTTGGCTTGTTCAATCTCGGTGCCCAGCGCAGCTTCTTGCTCTCTAGCATCGGCGAGCTGGCCCATATAGCCACCTTGCTTGGCGCCATCGCTCGTCTTGGATCCCATACCGGTCAGCAAGGTCTGCAGCAACTCGTCTTGCCTCTCCAATGCGGCGACCTCTTCGTCAAAGGTAGCCTTGAGGGTGGCAAAGCTGCCAGACACGCTTTCCAGTGCGCCCACCTTTTCCGCGTGCAATTTGCGCAGCGCGTCCAAGCTGTCCCGATTCTGGGCCACACTCTTCGCCTCTTCATCCACGCTCGCGACCTTGAAATCGAGCTGCGTCCTGTCCTTGACGAGTTGATGCGCCATAGCCTTGGACCTTTCCACCAATGCTTGCATCTTGCCGCCCTTGGTGAGTTCCTTTTCGCGCCTCGTTTCGATGCCCTCCAATTCACCTTCTATGCCGGCAATGTGCTTGCGCAAGGCGTCGACATTTGCCTGTTGCGCCTCGACTTGCCGCCTGCGCTCAGACAGTGCAGACGTCTTTTCCTCGCACCTCGCTCTGAGGGACTGCCATTCGTGCGCTTTGGCTAGACGCGTCAATCTCTCCAGCTCCGATGTCGCACGCTGGTATTCCAAAAATGAGCGCTTCTCCTCACGCAGCTTGTCCAGTTTGGGCGTAATCTCTTCCGTGAGGATCTGAATAGAGCGTCCATGTCAGCATGTATGCGCTGGGCGACGTGACCACGCGTACGCACCGACGTAATCTCCTTGACCTTTTGCTCCTTCTTTGTGATGGTCTTGATGGCCTTTTCCTTGCGGTCCTCAAACATGCGCGTGCCAGCAGCCTCCTCCATCATGCTGAGAATCTCCTGGGGCTTCATGTTGAGCACCTTTGTGATCTTGCCCTGCATGATGAGAAAGTTTGGATTGTTGATGTTGAGCTGAACGCTCTGGAACATGTTCTGCACGGCCTGCTGCGTTGCCTTTTGACCGTTGATCATGTACTTGGACAGTCCACCCATGGCAATCTGCCGAGTGACGACAATCTCGTTGGCATTCTCAAACGCTACGGGCGACTGCGAGCGATTGGTATTGTCAAAGTTGATGCTGACGGATGCTCGAGTAACACCCGCTTGACCGCGCTTGTAGATGAGATCCTGCAGGTTGGTGGCGCGCACGGCAGACAGATTGGTGATGCCGAGTACAAAGCAAATGGCGTCGAGGATGTTGCTCTTGCCGCTTCCATTGAGACCTGTAATGGCGTTGAAGGAAGGGTCAAAGTCTTTGATGTTGGTGCGCACCGGGTAGCTGTAGGGAGGGCGCGAGGAGTGGTCAGCCAAGGGGTGAGAATGTATGCGCCTCGTTTCTCCCTCTCTCTCTCTCTCTCTCCCTGCCTCTCCCCCTCACCTCTTGAAGCCATCGATGGTGACCTCCTTGATGCGCATACTGGGCGATCAAGCGAGGCTGATGTGTCCCTATCAGCGTTACGGTGTGCACCTCTCGCACGGAGGTGAGTGCGGTGATGTCGCGTCTGGATGATCCTCCGTTGTGGACGTGGGCGTGGGCGTGTGTGTGGGCGTGATTGCGGACGGGACTGCGAGCGCTGATGCCACGCGAAACGTCGTAGGGTGATGGTCGTTCAAGTGAGTGGTGAAGAGTCGTGAGTGATGGCATGAGTAGCAGCAGCGAGGCCAGGCCATCGAGTTCGAGTTGCACCTTGACGACCAAAGAGCCGCACACGCGCATGCCGACAGCCATGTAATGTACCGGTACCCCTCCAGCGTGCGTAACACACCACTCACGACGACGTGAGCGCGCGCGTGCGCGTGTTGCTCTCCACTCAGAGACGCGCGCGCGCGTTTTGATCCAGCCGGACGCGCGATAATCTGATGGTCACGTGCCACACGTGCCACGATCAAGCTCTTCCAAAAATTTTGAATCATGCGCGCGCGCGAGCAGCTGCTGCTGACTGCTGACTGCATGGCGTCCGTCTTGCACTCGTGACTCGAACGCGCATTCGTGATTCGCATTCACTCACTCGCGTCCAGCTCCACTCACACTCACACTCACGCTCACACTCACGCTCACGCTCCGTAATCACAACTACCCAGGCTGCTTTGAGTAACTGCTCCGCCCCCAATGACGACGACGGTGGGCACGTACACCCCACTGGACCGGGCTGAAGCGAGCGCATCGCTGGAAGCGGCGCTGTCCAAGATCAGACACCACATCAACTCCAAGCTTGAAAATCAAAAGCAGCCCGCGCTGTTGCTGTCGGCAGTAGAAGCGACGCTGAAGGAACAGCAGCAGCTCAACAATGGCGCCTCTACTAGTCGAGCTGACGGCGGCAACGAAGCGACGCAAGGCTTGAATCCCACCGAGTATGTGCTAGCTCTGGAGAGCATGCTTGACAAGGCAAGCAGTCCAGACGTGAGTGCGAGTGCGAGTGCGAGTGCGAGTGCGAGTGCGAGCGTGCGCATGTATGCGTCTCAATCAATCGGCATCCCCACCCCCTCCCCCTGACGCTGCTCCTTCCACTCGCAGGCGGCACCCTCTCTCTACACTTCCGTGCTGTATTTGCTCGCCATCGTCGCTCCCGTCACGGCACCAGCGGTGCTGCGCGCCCGCGCGTCTGCCCTTCTCGCTGCCATCCTTCCTCTCCTCTCCAATCCTCACTCTCACACTTCCACCGCATCGGTCAATGCAGAGAATCAGGCAGCGCAACTGAGATCAGCGCTGACCGTCCTTCAAGCAGTCCTCCTGTCTCACAGCGGCCCCTCAGACCGCGCTGTTCTGGACAGCGACGATGCCGGCTTGCGAAAAGGTTGGGCAGCTACACTGCACCTCTGCTCCGACGCTCGCCCAAAGGTTCGCAAGCGCGCACAAGACGTCGTCTCTGCTGTGCTGGACCAGGCAGACGCTCACAATTCTGCGTCTGCGAAAGCGCATCCATACGCAGCACGGACGGCAGATTGGGCCATCAAAGCTTTGCAAGGCGTGGCAGATGCGGGAAGCGCAAAGGGCAAGGCCAAGAGTGTGAGCAGCGCAGCCACCGCTCCAGAGTACGATCGACGCAAAGGTCAGGCCAAGGGTGCGAGCGCGGCAGCAGCGGTCAGGCAACAGACGGCCTCGGATGGAGGCGCGAGCGCAGGCATATGGGTCTGCGGTTTCCTCAAGCAACTCGCGCCGACGCTGCCCGGCAAGCATATTGCACCCCTCTGCAACGTTCTGCTTCGGCTGCCCAGCCTTGCCAACCCTTTTCTCACCAGCGCAGCATTCTCCGTCTTTGAAGCCCTGTTCAAGCCTTCCAAGCCGCAGGTGCATCCTGCATCGCTCTCGCTCTCGCTCCCCTCGGCCCCTTCTAGCGCACGCGCCAGCCGGATGGACAAGCAAGGTGACTCCCTCGTCCGCACGCTCGACGCTCTGTGCTCATCCTCCATCAAACCGAGCGCAAACGATGCGCAATTGCTTCCGCCATATCTGCGCGCCTTGGAAAACGCTCTGGTTGCCTACTCTCGCGTCGACGGAGGCATGGCAGCATGGGCGCGCGTACCCACAATCTGGTCGGAGATTGTCGAGGTCAGTCTATCCGCACGGAGCAAAGCCTCGCGCGAACAGCCTGCCGTTCGATCAGCAGGAAGGGATGCGCTGTGCGCCATTGCCCGCTACTGCGTGCCCGACGCGGCCATCGAGCAGACGCTGCAAGCTTCCGGCGCCCAAGCCGTCGAGACGCCTCTTGGTAGCATGTTGGCGCTCCTCGCCGATGCGCTCGGCAAGCAAGCTCTGCGGTACAATCACGCGCGAGCAGAAGTGCTCAATGTTCTCATCGCCTTGGTTATGCGCTTGAGGTATAGGTCACCAAGCAAGACGTCATCACGCTCACCACCCGCCGCAGCCCAGCTCATGCTTCCCATCGTCAGCGTCGTCGCCGATCTCCGTGCTCAGCCAGAGTTCGAGCATCGAGAGGCAGCCGATGGAGTCATTGCAGCGGCAGTCGAAGTATGCGGTCCTCGTCTTGTTCTCGACAAGCTACCTCTGGGTCTGAATGGTGAAAAGGGCGCCACAACTGGGAGGGCCTGGCTGCTGCCGTTGATGCGCAATCGCATCACCAATACGGAGCTCAGCCACTTTACGCAGTCGATGGTGCCTCTCTCGGAGGTCCTCTTCAACAAGAGGGCTGCAGCAGAGGAGCCCGCCGGGCCGGATGGCAAGCCAAAGCGACCCGTCGAGGCGAAAGTCTACGAAGCCTTGACGGAGCAAGTCTGGGCACTTTTTCCTGCGTACTGCGACATGCCCACGGATCTGATCGATGCGGTCGATGAAAAGTTTGTAGCCCTGCTCAGCAACGTCCTCTACTCGCAGCCGACGCTCCGACCATCCGTCTGTCGCGGCTTGCAGCTCCTTGTCGAGCGCAATGAGGCCCTGTCCTCCTCTGGCGCCCCTAGCGACACGTTGGTCACCTCGTTTGGGGTGGATCAAGTCATCGGCAAGGCCAACATTGCCCACCTCGCAAAGCTCGCTCCGCAACTCTTGGCCGTGTTCTTCAACATCTTTAGCCAGAGCCCTTCTTCCCGACGAGGGTTCATCGCGGAAGCTCTAGCCGCTTACCTGCGCGTCATGAAGCCTCAGGACATACGAGACACTTTTGAGCGCATCGTTGCCATGCTTCGAGAAGCTCTGCCGAATTTGCAGCACTCGCCGGACAAGGAAGCCGGCCCAAACGCCGTGCCACCAGTACCCCATACGATGCTCGACTTGCTCATCGCCCTGATCCCCTTCTTGGATGCTAGCAGCGAAGCCCACAAGCTGTTCGACTTGGCCCTCGGCGACGAGCTCCTCCTCGCCCGAGATTCCGGCTTGCAAAAAAAGACGTACCGCATCCTCGCCAGACTCATCGAAGGTCCACGCGGACTGACCGTTCTGCGCCTCGACGGTGGTGCTGGACGCGTGCGCGAGCTGCTGCTCAAGCTCAACGACACGAGCTCCAGCGTCGTGTCGGGTGCCAAGCGAGATCGCGTGGCTGTGCTGTCCGCCCTCGTCCCGCGCATCCCATCGCAAGAGCTGCACTTTTTGCCATCCATCATTCCCGAAGCTGTCCTCTCCACCAAGGAAGCCAATCAAGGAACGCGAACGCTAGCGTACGAGCTGCTTGTCGGCATGGGCCACAAGATGCAAGGGGGAGGCACCATCCGTCGCGATCTGGTAGAGACAGCGCTGGAAGACGGCGATGCTGAAATGGACAGTGCTGAAGTCGCAAACGCTAGCATTGAAGAGTACGTCACCATGGTCGCTGCTGGTCTCGCAGGCAGCACGCCACACATGATCAGCGCCACCATCACTGCGCTCGCGCGACTATTGTACGAATTTCACGAAGCGATGCCTGGCACCGTCCTGACCGACTTGCTCCAGACCTTGGAAGTGTTTGTCCGCTCGGCGAATCGCGAAATCGTCAAGTCGGCATTGGGCTTTGTCAAGGTGGTCATTGTCGTCCTTCCACATGCGATCATGGACGGCCAACTGCCCACCTACGTCGCCAGCCTCTTTTCCCTCAGTCCGCAAAACAGGCAGCACTTCAAAGCCAAGGTGCGGCACATTTTTGAACGCCTGATTCGACGCTTTGGCTACGAGCGGGTGGAGCAATTGACCGACGATGAGAACAAGAAGCTGCTCGTCAACATCAAGAAGAGAAAGGAGCGAGCTCGACGTCGTAAGAATGCGCAGGATGACGAGGCGAATGATGACGATGACGACGACGATCAGGGACCGGCGTTCATGGGAGCGCGCGCATTGCGTCGGCATGGCGTCGACGCATTCCAAGAGGCCATCTACGGTTCGGAGTCTGACCTCAGCGATAGTGGCGACGATGATGCAGACGAACCACGCAGACCAGCGGGTGGACGGCGCGCTCGGACAAAAGAAGAGCAGACGTATATTCGCGAAGACGACGACGAGGTCATGGATCTGCTCGACAGGTCCGTCGCTGCTGGTGGTGGCATCTCAACCTCTCGAGGCGGACGACCCATCGCTGGCGGAGCTGCTTCCACCGCACGCAGGCCGGGTCAAGATGCTAGCCGCTTCGAGCTGGACGAAGCGACGGGTCGCATGCTCATCGACGATCCAGAGGGTGGCAAAGCGATTGCGAATGTGGCGAATGTCGACGTCGATGCGGATGGCGCAGGCAGAGCGTACGTGGATCGAGAACGAGGTACTGGCGGTGTGCAGATGAGGGGTGGCGTGGCGCGCATGAACAAGAACAACAAGCGCAACAGGGCCGAAGATGCCGAGATGGAGCTGGAACAGATGGCTGCAGAGATTGGACTGGGTGATGAGGATGGCGGATCGAAACGCAAAAGGAAGGAAAAGAAGCACAAGGAGAGTATAGGAAAGGAATTCAGAGCTAAAAAAGCCGAGGGTGATGTCAAGCGCAACGACGGTCCTAGCCCGTACGCATATGGTGAGTCTTGGCGACGTACGCGTGCTTCCGTTCCCTGCGCTGACGGCGATTGACACATCCTTGCAGTCCCGCTGTCGGCAATGGGAGGCAAGCACAAACAAGCCGATATCCTCTCCATCACTGGCAAGGGCCGCAAGACGCACAAGGGCAGATCCTGAGCCGCACGCGATTGCCTCTTCGATTCCAGATGCATCTCTACATTCCCTTGCGTACCTGCTTTCAATTCACGCTTGTATGACGTCGGACGTGTGGTGATGTTCTGTTTGACGCGGATCCTGATTCATTATTCACGTTCTTCACGATTCTTGCCCTCTCAACGGGCGCCTGGACAACGGTCACGTGACCATGGTCCCCCCACGGACATGCGAGATCAAGAACCGCGAGAGCGTTACAAGCAGCTGATTCGCATTCACATTCACGATTCCCTCTCGACGACGTCCACCATCCTCGCGCTCGCAGATCAACCCCCCCGACAATCGTGAATCACGGATCAGCCTTGGACGTCACTCCTGATCGCAAGTGCCGCCACGATGAGCGCACCTACCGCATCTCCCTACACTGTATCCTCGCCCACATCCAACGCTGCCGCTCCACGCTCAGCATCCGGTGTGGGCGGCGGCGCGGGGATCACCTCGCCGCTATCTCCACGCGCCAGCATGCCATCCTACGCTCGTCGCTCCTCCACGCTCGTTTCGCTCTCGAGCGCAGGAGGCAGCTCGCGGGATCGAGACTCGCTGAGCTCCGTCTCTCGCGCGGGCACCACGACGACGTTTTCCAGCGCAGCGGGACCTAGCACACCGACTTCCTCTGCGCACCACCCGCATACACCCGGTACTGGAGGCATTGCGGCTCAGAGCGGCGCGGTGCTTGGTGGAGAGATGATATTGGACAGACCGAGGGACAAGACCAAGTCTTTGCAGGTAGGCAGCGCTGCTGTCCACTTTTTGTTCGCAGAGATTGTATCCTACACGCAGGGAAGGGTCAGAGGCATATCTGAGCTGGAGAGGAGGTGAGCGGGCAGAGAGAGAGAGACTGTCTGTCGGCTTCAGATTGCCCACACACGGACCGAGCTGATGGACTGCGACGTGCGACGTGCGACGTGCGTGTGCGCGTGCGCACGTGCGAATCTCGTAGACTGTCATCACTGGGCTATCAAGTCGGGCAGCGACTGTCGCACCTCATCATTCACAGAGCTGAGCAGCAAGTGCCTCCGTCATTGGGTGGCAGCAGCACGTACACGCGTTATGGCAATCCAAAGCGGGAAGGTATGCGGCTCCTGCCAGCCCTCATATGGGTTCACTCGACGCTGTGGAAAGCCGTGTTTGGCAAGGCGGCAGACAGTTTGGAAAAGAGCACAGAGAACAGCGACGAGTGTGAGTTGGTGCGCGGATGCGGGTGCGGGTGCGGGTGCGGGTGCGGGTGCGGGTGCAGCAGTCACCACCTAGGTGGTATGTTGACGAATGCACGCCCCCCGGCACACCTGCCCGCCCACAGACATGATCTCCTTCAATGCCCCCTTGTTCTCCTCCAAGATTGCGGTGCCCAAGGAGATGAGCCAGCTCTCCGTCGAGGCCTTCACCGCCGGAATCGTAGAGGCTGCACTGGATGGATTTGGTCTGGTGAGCCGCCGTGCCTTGGCCCTGCGGTGCCGTGCACTTGTCCACGCTGATGCGATGGCCCCTCTCCAGCCGGCAAGAGTCACTGCGCATAGCGTGCCCACGACGGATCATCCGCAGCGCACAACCATCCTCGTCAAGGTGAGACGCCTCGTAGAGTCGCATACACGCTGCGCAGGAACGCCTGACCCTTTCACATGTCATTACGCACCACAGCTCGCAAAGGAAGTCATGGAGCGCGATGCTGCTCTTGGACCTGCTTAGCGTCCGCGTCTACACTACAGCGACTGCAGATCGCCCAATGAGCATGGTTGTTTCATAGATCTGCGATGCGTGGAATATGGTATCTTGCTCGCGCTTATCGCTCCGACCGTACTGGCACAATTGCGCCATTCGTGTCCGAGTCGCTCGTCTTTGCATTGTCAAGACCGCCCACGCCCTCTTCGCAGCGGCTACCTGTAAGGCCAAGCGCCACGGTCTCGCCTGGATTGCCAAGTCTTTCGATCTCTGCCTGCGAGTTCAAGGCACGCTTGCCCCGTCGATCCATGTCGTCGTCTGCAACCCCAGACGTCTCTACAATGCTGGGCATTTTCGGTGCTGCGCGCATCGCCTCGCGAGGCGAAGGCGGATAAGCGGGCAGACGAGGACGGGATTGGTCGTGGATGCGCACCGTTGGGGACCTCGGTATCGCAGGCGAGGGCGCCCTCGGACTGGCCAAGTTGCGGCGCTCAGGAAGCTCCATGACGGCCTCGTCGACGTGCGCATTGCGCGGCGAGGTGGGCGAGCGCAGTCCAAAGCTAGACACTCGCTTGGCGCGAGGATCAATGGCGATCCACGAGAGGGGCCTGGTAGTGGCAAACACCATTTGCCTGTGCACTCGCCCTCCCATTGAAGCGGTAACGGCTAGATTGGGAATGGCGAGCATCAGCTTGGCAACGGGATGCGCGTGGGGCACGATGAGAGAGCAAAAGCAAAGAATGTTCATGAACACCACCACGCTGTTGGAACATCGTCGTCAGCGAAGCTGACGAGTGCGCCCGAGATCCACACTCACTCACCCATAATACAGCGTGCCTTGCTTGAACAGCTCCGCCACAATCGGAGTGAGTCCCTCTCGACGATGCTTTTCAAACGCTTGCCTTCCCCACTGACCGTTGGAAATGTCGTAAAAGAGGATGCGCGCGCTGACCGCAAGCCAAACCACCGTGTCGTGCAGGAAGAGTGCAATGACGGGCGCTTTGGCAAAGATGTCGGCGTGACGAAGCATGCACCTCTTCGTGTCGGCAATCTCGATGGCAGACAGCGCAAAGGGGGCAGCGATTCCGGTCGCCAGTATGGCCAACCAGAATGTGCCGAGAAGGATGGCCAGCTTGCGGTTCCATCGGTACAGCGCCATGGCGCGCAGATAGAGCAAAAGGGCGGTGGATGGACCGGCAATGGCGTAGCACGCGCTGAATGCGGCAATGGCGTGCTGGCAGAAATGGTGCGGCAGACGCGCAGACGCAAAGACGACGAAACCGATGGAATGTGCGCAGGCTGCCCATCTCGATGCCATGTATGCGACGGTTCCCAGGGTGACCTGCTTGCGGAACAGCATCTGGTAGTCGAGGTGCAGCGTCGTCAGGATCTCCCAGACCTGAGCGCCGAGTACGGCAGAGTAGAGCAATTGAGAGGATTGCCTGAGCACGGCTACCGAGTCTGGCAAGTAAGCCTCGGGCCATGCCGTGTTGATGATGGCGTGTCCCGTGGGCGAGATGAGGGCCATTGCGGAGTTGGTGATTAGCAAGGTGCGGGTGGTGGTCAAGCGGCGAGTTGCGAGCGAGGCGAGGGAGCAGGAGCGCCATCGCCATCGCCAACGCCATCGCCACTCCCATCTTATGCCCGCGTCAACTTCTGACCTTGTCTGCGGCTGGACCCGAACCCGAACACCGGCCGGCCGGGTGGGCAGCGATCTGCAATCGTTGCACAACAATCAGGCGCCTTCATCCCAGCCACACACACGCGCTGCTCATTGACTGCTCAAGGATGCCCTTGTCTACGGTAATGCGAGCGTGCAGAAGAAAGAGCAATGTGACCTTGACACGCGCGCGCGACTACTTGACACGCCTGCCTGCCTGCCAGTCACCACGACGCCCAAGTCCACTCAGACTCAGGATTTCTGCTCATCCATGCCGCGCTGTAAGCCTCGCACAAATGCCGTCTGCGTGATCATGGGCTGCCATGCAAACAATGCCGGACCACGTGCTGTAGAGGTTCGAATCACCGTGCCGCTTGTCACGTTTGCGACTTGCGACGCACGTGTAGGGCTCACATTTCCCCACAAGCAAGGCGCACACGCACGAATGGCACGGCATTTGATTCGATCAAGCGCCTTACCGTCTCGATCGTGCTGCTCGTCGATGATGTGGTCAGCGCAGGTGTCGGCAATGGGGGAGGGTGGAGATCGAGAGCCTGCGTGTCCACTTTCCGTGTCGAGAAATTCACGATTGCCGAATAGAGCTGAGCTGAGCTGAGCTGGGCTGGGCTTCGCAGCTGGACAAAATATGCTTTTGCTCGCTCCTACTGATTTGCTATGCACAACTTGCCATTGTAAATGCTACATTCACATTGACCCTTGACTGACTGTTCCTCGAACACCAACTCGACGTGCCGGCCTAGAAGATCACGTGCGTGCATGGCTGCCAGGGTTGCAACGGGACGCACGCACGCACGCACGCACGCACGCACGCAGCGACACGCGCATCGGTTGCAACGCGTCGAACGCGTAAATTGACGCGTTTGCGCGTGTGTGAGTGCGACTTTTGACCTGCACGCGGCGCGGTGTTTGTGATGGTCGTGGTCGTGATTCGCCTGCACTGTGGCTCAGGCCGGTGACTTGCAGGTAGAGGCGTCGGCGACGGCAACAGAGACCGTCGACAAGCAGCTCCACCATCTCCCAGCGCCAACACCCACTCGCAGCCAGTCCAGCTAGACTGATCCCCCCCAGTCACCCTCGAAGCCGCACCCTCGACAACTCGCTCGGCAAACGCGTCACCACCATGTCGGGCTTCGACAGCGGCAGGCTGTTCAGCGCTCAGGTGCTCGCCGGCTCCGAAGCGTCTCGAGCACCCGACGCACCAGCGCAGACCGAACAGTCGCTGTACGAGTTTGTGCAACGATTCCGCACGGGCAACAACGACTACATCTACAGGGACAGGCTTAGAGCGAATCTGCTGGCAAAGCAAAACGTCCTCGAAGTCACGTTGGAGCATGTCCAGCTATGGAACGCTACGCTGGCTCAGGCCATGCGCCAGACGCCAAACGAGATCCTGCCATTGGTGAGTGGGGGAGTGTGTGTGTGTGTGTGTGTGTGTGTGTGAGGGGATGGCATGTATGCTACGTATCGATGCGCGCAAGGTGGACGAATGCTCATGCCGCACACCGCACACCGCACGCCGTACGCAGTTCGAGTCGGCGGTGAAGCGAGCAGCGCGGGGCATTCTGCATCCCATCTCTACCGGCACAGATCGAGGCAGACCAGAAGCGCCGGATTGTCAAGTCAGCCTGCGCTCCTCTGCCAATCTGCTCGGCATGCGCGATCTCCATGCAGACAGCATCACCCGCCTGGTGAGGATCCCAGGCATCGTGATTGGCGCATCCACCCTCTCCTCTCGTGCCACGCACCTGCAAATCATGTGCAAAGAGTGTCGTACACTCAAGACGCTGCCCATCTCTGCCGGATTTGGCGGCTTCTCTTTGCCGCGCAACTGCAGCGGACCAGAGGGGATGGAGGGACAACAGACCAAGCCCAACTGCGGCATCGATCCTTTTGTCATCCTCCACGACAAGTGCAGGTTCGTCGATGCGCAGACCATCAAGCTGCAAGAGGCGCCCGACATGGTTCCCGTGGGTGAGCTGCCTCGACACATGCTCCTGTCTGCTGACAGGGCACTGTGCGGCAGGGTGGTGCCTGGAAGCCGCATCATCGCCACGGGTGTGTACAGCACCTTTGCCCCAAGCAGCTCTCGAGGAGGCAAAATGGGTGGAGCGGTGGCCCTTCGACAGCCGTACCTGCGCGTCGTAGGTCTCGAGATTGACGCAGAAGGTGCAGCAGGCAGAGGAGCTGCTCGACTATTCACTGTAGCGGAAGAGGACGAGTTCAGCCGGTTTGCGAGGACGCCACAGCTTTACGAAAAGTTTGCTAGGAGCATTGCGCCCAGCATCTTTGGCAATGAGGACATCAAAAAGGCCATCACCTGCCTCTTGTTCGGAGGCAGCAAAAAAGTGCTGCCTGATGGGATGCGCCTCCGAGGCGACATCAACGTCCTGCTTCTCGGCGATCCTGGTACGGCCAAATCTCAGCTGCTCAAATTCGTTGAAAAGGTGAGCCCATTGAGCAGTCGTGCTGCGGCGGCGCACGCGCAGTCGTTTGCTGACGCTGTTCGCCTCCTCTTGCTCTCTCCCTAGGCGGCCCCGATCGCAGTGTACACGTCCGGCAAGGGTAGCAGCGCAGCAGGTCTTACCGCATCGGTGCAGAGGGACACGCAGTCTGTAAGTTTGAGCCCTTGTCAACGCGACTTGTCTTTGCTACGAGCGCTCACATCGCCACATCGACCTGCTTCTCCACAGCGCGAATTCTACCTGGAAGGCGGTGCCATGGTGCTGGCCGACGGTGGCGTGGTCTGCATCGACGAGTTTGACAAGATGCGCGATGAAGATCGCGTGGCCATCCACGAGGCCATGGTGAGTTGGTTGCTCGCCTTGGGCCGCGTGCCGCGTGCCGCCTCGGCGGTCGATTTGATGCGAATGCCCCTCCCCGACGCGCCACCGCAGGAGCAACAAACGATTTCGATTGCAAAGGCGGGCATCACCACGATTCTCAACTCGCGCACCTCCGTCTTGGCTGCGGCGAATCCCGTGTTCGGAAGGTACGACGATATGAAGTCGCCTGGGGAGAATATCGATTTTCAGACGACGATTCTGAGTCGATTTGACATGATCTTCATCGTCAAGGACGAGCACGATGAGGGAAGAGATCGTACCATCGCCAAGCACGTCATGAACATTCACATGAACAGACCTGGAGCGAATCCCGCTTCGGAGGTGGTGGGAGAGATCGACATGGACAAGATGAAGCGTTATGTGGCCTACTGCAAAGCGCGTTGCGCGCCGCGCTTGTCGGAGGAAGCGAGCGAGAAGCTGAGCAGTCATTTTGTGGCGCTGAGAAAGCAGATTGCCCAGGTGGAGCGCGACAATGACGAGCGAAGCAGCATCCCCATCACGGTGCGACAGCTGGAAGCCATCATTCGCATGAGCGAGAGTCTGGCCAAAGTGACGCTCAGCCCTACGGTGCAGGAAGAGCACGTAGAGGAGGCCATTCGACTGTTCAAATTCTCCACCATGGACGCCGTGCAAGCTGGTTCGGTGGACGGCATGACGCGCGGCGAGCTGCAGGAAGAGGTGCAAAAGTTGGAGAGGGAGATTAGGAGGAGATTGCCCATTGGCTGGAGCGTCTCCGCTTCCAGACTGCGAAACGAATTCGTAGAGGCGCAAGGCTTTACGCAGCACGCTCTTGACAGGACGCTGTACGTGCTGGAAAAGAGGGACGTCTTGCGTTTCTCTAACCAGAGAAAAGTCGTCACTAGGACCGGCGTCTAGTCACTGTCCAAGTTGCCGCCCACCGCACCGTCCGCTTCATCCAATTCACTATTCTTGATTGCACAGACTCCCAAACTTGGACTGGTGTCCGTTTGATAGGCTTCCACCATTCGCGATTGTGTGCTTCGCGACGACGGGCCAAGGCGAGCGAGATGAGCCTTGCGCAGGTAAGGATCGATCGAGCAGCTTACGCTTGCTACATCACGAGCGATCTCGCTTAATACCGTTCGTGTACATAGGTACAGCTTGGACGGCCGCGGCGTCTTTCAACGAGCGCGCGCTGATTGATGCGTTTGACGCTCAGATCATTGTCACGTGATCTAGTCGCGCGGTGCGCACACGCCCGGCCTGCATGCATCGCGCGCGTACGTCACCATCAGCACAAGGAGCATGTTACGCCACGGTGGGAAGCACGGATCTGTGAGGCCTGGTATGCCACCATCATCTACGCGCCTTCTGCCACAACAATACCCAGCACCAACTAACGGTAAGGGCCCTCTATCAGAGCGCGCATTAGGACGGCACACAAGGACTTGTTCGAGGTGTTGCCAGGAATAAAACCGCGATGGGTCAAGTTCCATCCCAAGGCGCTGGTCGACCAGGCCGCGATGGCAAGGACAAGGTGAGTGCAGGGTGGGGCAGTGGGTGTATGCGCGCGCGCGTCAAGTGCCCATCAGGCATGCATGTCGGCCATCGATGACCTTGATCCGCTGACACGATCCACTCGCGATCCGATGTCTACGCGCTCGATAGAGAAAGGATCAGCCCAAGAAGTGGGAGCCACCTCTTCCTACTCGCGTTGGCAAGAAGAAGAGACGCGGACCGGATGCCGCCACAAAGCTGCCCCCCGTGCACCCCACCACGCGATGCAGGCTAAAGCTGCTGAAGATGGAGCGGATCAAGGACCACTTGCTGTTGGAGGAGGAGTTTGTTCAGAATCAAGAGAGGTTGAAACCTCAGGAGGAAAAGGCGCAAGAGGAGAGGACTAGAGTGGATGATCTCAGAGGAAGCCCAATGGCGATCGGAACGTTAGAGGAGATCATCGACGATGAGCACGCCATCGTCAGCAGTGCCACTGGGCCAGAGTACTACGTATCCATCATGAGCTTTGTGGACAAGGATCTGCTCGAACCTGGTTGCTCCGTATTGCTGCATCACAAGGCGATGGCCATCGTGGGTGTGCTTGCAGACGACGCGGATCCCATGGTCAATACCATGAAAGTGGACAAGGCGCCCACCGAGAGCTACGCGGATGTTGGGGGTCTCGAGCAGCAGATTCAAGAGATCAAAGAAGCCGTGGAACTGCCCCTCACCCATCCTGAGCTCTACGAGGAGATGGGCGTCAAGCCTCCGAAGGGTGTGATTCTTTACGGCGTACCAGGCACAGGAAAGACGCTCTTGGCAAAAGCTGTGGCCAATCAGACCTCGGCGACCTTTTTGCGCATCGTGGGATCGGAGCTGATTCAAAAGTACCTCGGAGACGGCCCCAAGCTGGTCAGGGAGCTGTTTAGAGTGGCAGACGAACAAGCTCCTTCGATCGTCTTTATCGATGAGATCGATGCTGTTGGAACAAAGAGATATGACAGCAGTAGCGGAGGAGAGCGAGAGATCCAGAGAACCTTGCTGGAGCTCTTGAACCAGCTGGATGGTTTCGACACAAGACACGATGTCAAGGTCATCATGGCTACAAACAGGATCGAGTCCCTGGATCCCGCATTGATCAGACCAGGGTGAGTCGAGACTGGAGCAACTCGAGTCAAGTCTCGCTGACACATTTGGCGGATCACCCCTTCTTCCAACAGCCGAATCGACAGAAAGATCGAATTCCCCATGCCCGATCAAAAGACCAAGATGTGAGTCTGCTCGAGGAGCTGCATGCACCCGCACCCTTGCTCACCGTCTGCGTGCACCTCTTCGTCTGGCATCTTGACACAGGCGCATCATTCAGCTGCACACTAGTCGCATGAACCTCGACTCTGACGTCGACTTGGAGGCACTTGTCAGCGTCAAGGACGAATTGAGCGGTGAGTGTCGGGGGCGCGAGTGCACAAAGGTTATGCCGTCGCAGTGCTTACCTTGCGCCCCCCTCTTGCTTACCCCTCACCGTATCAGGTGCCGACATCAAATCGCTCGCGACGGAAGCTGGACTGCTCGCCCTTCGCGAGAGACGTATGCGCGTGACGAAAAAGGTGCGTTGTGGATGATGCAGATGAGAGGTGCTTAAGTGCGGCTCATGCATGGGCTCAATTTTTATTGCGAATCTGCGCCGCACGTGCACGAACAGGACTTTGACACGGCCAGAGAAAGAGTGCTGGACCGAAAGAAGGAGAACATGCCAGAGGGTGAGCGAGGCGAGGCGATGCGATGCGATGCGATGCGACAGATGCGCGCCGTAGTACCAAAGCTGACGCTATGCTATTCCTCGCTTTCGGCACAGGTCTTTACCTCTGATGTTGGTCGAGCAGCGTGGAGCTGGACAACTTTTGCACCTATGCAATTCGATGTGTTTGTTACATGTAACTTTGAGTCGTGCCGCGGGCAGGCAGGCGTGTTGAGATGAAGCGATTGGTGTTGTCAATGAGTTGCGAAGACAGCGAGATGATGTCAAGACCTGCGTGGATGAGAGTAGGGCAAACCGCTGCAAGCCCGACCATCGTGAATTGATTCGATTCGGCTGAGGGTGAAAGGATGATCGCCATCAAGGTTGGTAATCTGAAAGTGCGAGCTGCTCTCCCGCACGAGAAGAGGCGGGCGGGTGTGTGTGCATATGCGCGCGCGCGCGCGCGTGCCCGCTCTTCCTTGGTCAGCAGCTGCGTGCGTGCGTGCGTGCGTGGCGTGTGACGTCGCTGTCGCGGCGATGTGCGATGTCGTCGAGATGACCGCCATCTCCACTCGGCTCGGCTTTGGCGTATGGTGGGTGGATGGTGATGCGCATACAGTACATTCACATTTCACACTCGTGACTCGTGACTCGTGACGTTTACAAGATCGTCCTTCGCCTTGGCCTATTCTCTTCATTCCAACGCTGCAACACCGCACGTCAGCTTCGTCGCCAACCATTGCACGCACTCGCACATCGCACATCGCACATCGCGCATCACCCACTCCAGCCTTGCTCACCGCATCGCCGCTTGACGCGATGGGGATCCCTAAATTCTTTCGATTCATGTCGGAGCGGTACCCGCTGATCAGTCAGCTGGTGGAGGAGAACAAGATTCCAGAGTTTGATAATCTCTACCTCGACATGAATGGCATCATCCACGCTTGCTCTCACCCAAACGACGGCGACGCTCACTTTCGAATAACGGAAGCGGATATATTCTTGGCCGTCTTTTCCTACATTGAGCATATATTTGCAAAGATTAAACCTCGACAGCTCTTCTTCCTCGCCATCGATGGCGTAGCACCCAGAGCAAAGATGAATCAGCAGCGCAGCAGGAGGTTCAGAACGGCAAAGGAGACAAAGGAGATTCGAGATCGAGCGATTGCCAAGGGCGAAGAGTTGCCGGAGCAAGAGGCGTTCGATAGCAACTGCATCACACCAGGCACACCATTCATGGCCAGGCTGTCCGAACAGCTCAAATACTTTTTGGCCAAAAAGGTGACGGAAGACGCTTCGTGGAGGGCCGTGCAGATCGTCCTGTCTGGTCACGAGACGCCGGGGGAGGGTGAGCACAAGGTGATGGAGTACATTCGCTTGGCTAAAGCGCAGCCGGACTACAACCCGAATGTTAGGCACTGCCTGTACGGATTGGATGCGGACCTCATCATGCTCGGTCTGCTCAGCCACGACCCGCACTTTGCGCTGCTCAGAGAGGAGGTCAACTTTGGGCCACAGAGAAAGAAGCGGAGTGGGTGAGTGACGTGGCTCGGCCGCTTGTATGCGCGCGCGCCTGCTCGCTCTCTCTCACACACGCGCACGCACGCATCTACAATGTCGACTCTTTCCATTCGCACAGACTCGAATCTCAAAACTTTTATCTGCTTCATCTGTCTCTCTTTCGAGAATACTTGGATCTGGAGTTTCAGGATTTGCGCTCCTCGCTTCCCTTTCCTTATTCCCTCGAGCGCATCATCGACGATTTCATCCTGCTCAACATATTCGTCGGCAACGACTTTTTGCCCCACTTGCCCGGATTGCACATCAACGAGGGTGCGCTACCGATGCTGTTCCGCATCTACAAGAGCGTCTTGCCTGCTGCTGGTGGATACCTGAATGAGGACGGCGTGCTGCAAGTAGCCAGGTTGCAGCTCGTCCTCGCCCAACTGTCAAAGCTCGAGGTGGAGCAATTCAAGGCGGAATTTGCAGATAGCAGCTGGTACGAAGGCAAGCAAGGCCCTTCTGAAAAGGAACGCAAAAAGAGAGCGCAGGCGAGCGGCAAGGGCAAGTTGGTGCTCACGCCATCTCAAAAGGCTTTGTACGAGCAGGTCAAGCGATTCGTCCTAGCTCAGCGCGCCGATCCCGTCGGCGCACCTGCGGATCTCTTCCTGACCAACACGATGCCCGTTGCCGATCAGACTTTCCTCAAGGGTCTTTGCAAGAATCTAGGCTTCAGCTTGAGCTTCGACGAGTACGATCCGGATGCTGATGCTCCCGCTACGGCCGTTTCGAGCGATCTGGATGAGCAGACTGCTTTGGTGCTTGCACAGGACAAGATTGCGGCTGCCCGATTCGCGAGCGCCGGCGATCAGGTACTCTCAAAGTACGACAAGGCTCAGGTCATCAAGGAGGAGACGAATGGTCACAAGGCAGAGGAGGAGGAAGAGGAGGAGGAGGAGGAGGAGGAGGATGAGGATGCGGCAGAGGCGAGAATGATTGAGGAAAAGATGCTGCAGTGGAAGAAGGACTACTACCACGACAAGTTGCACATCGACTTCAACGACAAGGATGCAATGAGGCTGCTGGCGTACAAGTACGTGGAAGGCTTGCAGTGGGTCCTGCACTACTACTACGATGGCGTGGCTTCTTGGGGATGGTTCTACCCCTACCATTACGCGCCCAAGATATCAGACCTGCTGCCAGTCTTTGACATGAAGTTTGAATTTGAGCTGGGCAAGCCTTTTCGACCGTTCGACCAGCTCATGGGCGTCTTGCCAGCTCTCAGCAGGCAACACATTCCGCCTGCTTTCCGGGACCTCATGACCGATCCCACATCTTCCATCATCGACTTCTACCCGCCCGATTTCGAGGCGGACATGAATGGTAAGAAACAAGATTGGGAAGCGGTCGTCAAGATCCCTTTCATCGACGAGAAGCGTCTGCTCGCTGCGTTGGACAAGAGAGAGGGTCTGCTGACGGCGGATGAAAAGCAGCGGAATTCCTTTGGAGAGTCGACGCGTTTGACGTTCGACGAGCAAAATGAGCGCTTCTTTGCTAGCTCTCTGCCCGGCGTTTTCCCCGACCTGCCTCATTCCCGCGCCAAGGTGGAGACGTTTCACCTGCCTACTCTGGATGGATTGCATCTTGTCAGAGGTCTCTGCGATGGCGTAGAGCTAGGGTCCCGAGCACTGGCCGGCTTCCCGAGCCTCAAGACTTTGCCGCATTTTGGCAGGACGGAGAAGCATGGCGTCAATGTGTTTCAGAGTGAGAGCAGGCTGGACAGCGTCGTGTTGCACGTAGAGAATAGGTTCAACAATGCCAAGTCGGAAGAGCTCGCCAGCGCGATGCTGGGCAGACGGACATTTACTCATTGGCCATTCCTGTACGAGGGCATGGTCACTGCGCTCTCTGACAGCTTGTTCAGGTACGAGCTGGTCGATGGGCAGATTACCAAGACGCCCCACGCGCCCGATGCCGTCTCGACGTGGAGACGCAAGGTGGATAGACTTGCCCAGCACTATAGCAAGCGATACGGTGTGCTCGTCGGAAGGGCGGAGCAGCTGTTGCACGTCCGCACCCTCACCGGCCTCAAGAGGATGGAAGATGGCTCGTTTGTAAAGGAGTACGAGGCGGATGCGGAGAGGCAAGTGGACCAATTGGTGCAAATGTCGATTGCGGATGTTGTGCAAGAGGACAGCCGGACATTGGAGAGGAGCGCCCAGGAAGTGTCTATCGAGTATCCACTGCACACTCGATTGTTCTTCCTCGGCGAAAGGCCGTTTGGCGCACCTGCTGCCGTGGTGCAATCTCAAGGCGATCAGCTCACCATTGAGCTGGCGTACTATACCAGTCAAGCCAAGGAGAATGTGTACATCCACAACCTGGTGGCGTCCAGAATCACCGAACGGTACTATCCCTCGTTCATGATCGCTAAAAAGGTCGGCATGTCTTCGCTGGCTCTGTCTAAAATCACTGCGAGCATGCTGCTGGACCACAATGGCTCGCGGACGAATGTGGGACTGAACCTCAAATTCGAAGCCAAGAGCTGCAAGGTGTTGGGCTACAGCAGAAAGGGACCTCAAGGTTGGGAATTCTCGGACAAGGCCATCGAGCTCATCAATGCCTTCAAGGAGGCTTTCCCAGAAATATCGGACACGATCGCTGCAAAAGCCGGTTCGGATCTGAGAGATGCCGAAGATTTCTTTGGCGACGATGCGGAAGAAAGAATGAAGGAGGTAAAGAAGTGGATCAAGGAGAAAGGCGTCAGGGATCTCGAAGCTGTTCCGCTCTTCGCCGAGCAGCTGGACAAGCCGACGGTGGGCGCCATCGAAGCGTTTACGACATCGCTCAACGAGAGAATGGCCAAAGCTGGCCCTGGTGCGGGTATAAAGAGAGCCCATGTCAAGGGAATGCCTCGCAACGCCCTTCTCAAACCTTCGCACGCACCATATCGTCTTCAGGGACAGCGCTTTGAGCTTGGTGATCGAGTCATCTACGTCCTCGACACGGGCACAGTGCCGTTGAGCGCGCGAGGCGTTGTGGTGGGCCTCAACACGACCAACATCGACGTACTATTCGATGTGCCTTTTCTCTCTGGCACGAGGCTAGGGGACAGATGCTCGCCGCATCGAGGAGCTACAGTCACTTTTGACTCTGTGCTCAACCTCACCCAACCCCAATTTGCCGTACCATATGGACCCGCGGGTCAAAATCCTTCCGCACCCACCGGTCCCTCCAAAGCGAGGAGCTCCGCTGGTGATTATCGTCCTCCCAACATGATGCGGTCTGCCAGGCCTATGCACTCAAATGGCCACCATGCAGGTCACCAGCAGCAGCAATTCAATCCGACGGTGATTCTGTCTCGCAATGCCAGGCCTACTAGACCACCCAGCGCCAGCGTCACTGCCGAATACGCCTTCTCTGGCGTAGCTTCGGGCAGCTCGAAACCTTCGAAAGCGAAAGATGCTGCGACAGACGGCTTGAATCCTCATCTTGCGACTTTGTCCATACGTGGAGGATCGACGGGAGGTAGGGGAGGAGGAGGAGGACGGGGACGGGGCCGGGGAGCTGGGCACGCACCTCACGTCAGACCTGCTCATTCGCCACACTTGCCCTTGGCGCCCGCGCATGGCCAGGCTGGATTCGCGCAAAGAGGTAGGGGCGCAAGAGGAAGGGGAACGGCTCACAGAGGTGGCGCAGGAGATGTGGGCGTGAATGCTGCTGTGCAGCAGAGCTGAGCTGAGCTGCGTTGCGTTGCGCTGCGCTGCGTTGGGAATTCTCTCGCGGGAGAAGGATGAGGTGCCAAACGGCAAGAAGATCGAGCAGCTCGAGCAGCGTAATTTAAATGCGATGCGTTTGTCTTGCTTAGCCATCAACATTTGCAAGCGTGGGGCAAGGATGCGCCCCGCGGGCTCAAGTTCAAAAGCGCGCCTCGCTCGGCCTACGATTCTGAATTCAAATGCACCGCGCGCAACGATGATCGAGCGTCTGCGGCTGAACAGGCGTCAAGCCTCGCCTCGCCTCGCCTCGCCTCTGCCCCATTCGATTGCGCGCAGCCTGACTGACAGCTTCGTGAGTCCATTGCGCGCTGCTCTCTACCTGACATGTCTCGTCGCGCACTGAGTCCTGCGAGGCCCTACCACAATGGCTTGTCCGCCTAGCTCACATTCCCCCTCACACACCTGCATCCGTCGACACGCTCACAAACGAGCTGAATCTCCAACCCCCCCTGCAGGCATCCTGATATCTTTTTCCCGTCTACAAAGGCGACACGCGTTGACCTCTGTTCTGCTCTGATGGACGAAATGATACATGTGATTGCGACTGTTGATCGTGTAGGTGCATAGAGCTTGGAGGAATGCGCACCCTTGGTGTCTACTTCGCAAAGATTTTAGACGCCCACCACACGCTCCAACGCGGAGTCGCACGACAGGTGCTGAAATCGATGGAGATCCTCGTGATGACAAAAGCCCATCGATGAGTGGAAGGGCAAGGAGCGAGAGGCGAAAGAGGCGAAGGATGGTTCGGACTCTGCGCTTATGCAGTCACGGAGCTCAACAAGTCGGAGTCACCGGCGTCGAGGACAGTCATGACGCTGGTCGAGAAGAAATGTACGAGGGAGTGGGGTCAGCTAAATCTGCCGACGGAGGTTGACCCGACGCTCATGTCGTACGCGTCATCACCGAGTTGCGCAGCAACGACAGCACGCGACCGATGCCGCGAATTGCACATTCGCACTCCGCATGCCGCCCTATATCGCTTGCGGGCCTTCCTTTTCGTGCCAGACAATGCTTACTCACCCGACACGGAACAGCTTACCAGCCGCAGTTCCGAGGGCAACGTTGGATCCCTGGTAGTGGTGCACGCTAGTCTTTGAAAGCATGGCGTAGTACTCCAACTCTGACTTGCGCAGAGGAGGAGTGTTGGCAGAGATGAGGACCAACTTTGCTTTGCCGCTCCTCATCGATTTAAGGGCGCTCTTCAAGCCGAGAGAGACCTTGCCAGACTTGATGACAAGCTGTGTTTTGGTGCGTGTGTTGTGTGCAGTGCATCTCGTCAGCCTCCGAGCTTTGTATGCGCTCTTCGCGGGCCACGTGTATATGCTGAGGGCCATCTGCTCTCTCTGCCTCTGTTCTCTCTCGTTCTCTCTCTTTCCATACGCAAGTATCATCCCCTCCTTCTACTCCGCCTCCTCTGCTGCACGTCGACCTCGCCTTTAGACCACCCACCCCCCCTCCGATCCTTGGCCCACCTCTTATGAAGAGATACGTACCTGCAGCTTGGAGTTGATGTTGTCCTGAGAGGACTTCTTTGCCTTGGTGGTGGGAGCCATTTTGACGCTTTAGGGGACAGGAGCGCAGCGGTGGAAGAGCGAGCAAGGATTGTGCGAGAAGCAGGCAGGCGGGCAGAATGGAGGGCAAGGAGTGCGAAGATGGAAGACGCGATTCGTTAGCAAAGGCCCTAATGAATGCAGTGCGCCGGAGCATCAAGCGCTGTGACTCACAAAGCTTCTTGTTGAGGTAGAGCAGCGCAAATGGTGTGGTTATCGTGGAGAGAGGAGTACTGTATGCTGGCACGACGTTGCTTTGTGGGACGTGGATGCGCGCTTGATGCCCTGCTCGATTTGCAGGGCGAACCTGAATCAGCTTTGCGAATCACGTGAAGCAGAGGTCAGCGCCGCGCCGGTTCTACGGGCGGCAGCCGCAGCATTGCGCGGTGCATCATGGACCTGCTGTTGCGCGCCGCCGCCAGCGATCCTTCCGCGCGGGCCATCAAAGACGCGTCTGGGTGCTGCCACGCCACGTGGACTGAATTGCATCGAACGCTTGCCCGCGTGCAGCAAACAGGCTTGGAGGGCCGTGGCTGCCTGAACCCCAGCTGGCGCTTTGCACTCGTCACGATCTGGTGTGATCTTCTCGCTACGCGGCGCTCGCTTCTGTTCAACGCCGTCACCATACCGACACACACACACACACACACACACACATCTTCAAGGTGAGCATCATCGGTTTTCCAAGCAGCAACCAGTACAGCGCAGCGAGTCAGTGGTTGCTATTTGGGGAGATTCGGACCTCGCAGGCGGGCCAGGCAATTCAGGTGGATATGGGAGGTGCAGGCCAGAGGGGCTGATCAGTGTGCCGCAAAGCGTTCATGGAAGGTGTTGAAAGGTCGTTGAGCCAGCGATTCGAGGGTGGAGTGGAGCGTCAATCATCTCTTTGCTTGCAGCATGCACATGGAATGCTGACTAAAGGCCCCCCCGCACTTAATCGTTACGCAGATATAAGACAAGATGACGAAGGGCACCACCTCGTTTGGTAAGCGCCAGTGCGTATCAAGTCCGACTTGAAGACGAATCATCGTCGTGCAGATGGCGTTCGAAGGGGTTGCGAGGGAGACGGTGGTGCAGAGAGGGGAAACGTCGAACAATGTCGATCTAAGCGCGCTCAGCGGTGGCGCATGAGAGCGGGGCGATGCTGGTCTCGAGAGGTGGCAGCACACGAGCAAGCAATCACAGGGAACTGGCGCAAAGCGGCACTGTTGGAGGACAGGAGCGCAGCTGCAACACAAATCGGTGGACTGTGTCTTGGAGAGGGGGAGCGGGAGGGTCGACTAGGTCGCAAGCGCAGGACGGCGGGCTGTTGGCACTGCTCATGATCTTCGTGCGTCGGAGACGTCCACTGACGCTGGCATTCCACGCCCTTGCTTCTCATCAGCACCAAGACGCACACCCTGTGCCGTCGTTGCAACCGTCGCGCGTTCCACAAGCAGCACAAGAGTGAGTGAGAGCGACGGAGACGCAGGCGCTCGAAACCCAAGTTGCACGGACACTGAATCGAGTGAAATGTATTTGCCTACAGCCTGCGCATCATGCGGCTACCCTGCCGCCAAGATTCGTTCTTACGAGTGGGGACAGAAGGCTAAGCGCAGAAAGAGTGCGTACTCTTGATGTTCGGATGATGCGTACTGTGTTGCTAACATTCTTCACGTACGCACGTCTTTGTCTCTTTTCCCCAGCCACCGGAACTGGCCGCATGCGCTACCTGTCCACCGTTCCTCGTCGCGCAAAGAACGGATTCCAGACTGGTGTGGCCAAGAGGCAAAAGAAGCCCTCTGCCGCTGCCGCCTCCGCTTGAGGTCGCGTCACCAAAAGCAATGAAAGATCGGTCGGTTCGAACGTATACGCTACATGCCATTCACCAACCCCCACATGCATCTGCGACGTGGCCAGATCACACGAATCGTGTGGTTTTGCAATACAAGACACCCAAAAATCTCTCCCTAACTTGCGGCAAGCGGTGCGAGATTCACATCGTTGGAGTATTGTGCTGGAGCAAGGGAATTTTTTGAATTACGGCTCTGCACTCTTCACCATCTCTTTGTCTTTGTGGCAAATCGATCATGCGCTCAGCTCACCCACATGCCGGCTGGACGGTAGCGCGCGTTGCCGATGCTGATTTGGCTAGCCAGATTTGTGCTGGCCGTCTAACCCACGTTCTGGACGCCTGCAACGCCTCTCTCTCTCTCGCCCCTTGAGTTCGTCAGCAGCCTTTGCTTGCGCTTTGGCTGGCCTGTGGAGAGTTGTGGAGGAGTGTGATAGCTGCGTTGTGGAGGAGTGTGATGGCTTGCGCTGATCGCCATGCAGACGCAGATGACCTCCTCCCTCGCCTCGCCTCGCCTCGCCTCGCCATCACCTCGACGGATACGTGCTGGTAAGCGAAGAGCAAGCCCGCGCCTTTCGACTTAAGACTCGGGAATTGCAATCACGTGATCCCTTGGCAAACCTCTTTGAGTTCGCAAGCAATGCTGCTATGGTGCTGCGCTGCTTGCTGCTAAGTTCTTGAGTGCCCGTCTCACCCCCCCTTAGTCAGTCCTGCGCAGCACCTTTGTTGACAGGTCAAGTCACAGTGGCCACGAGCCTGAGCCTGCTTGTGCATGCATGCACGCCTGCTGACCTGCAAAAGATCTGTTGTGGTCCTGCGCGCTTCGAACGCGGACTTGAGCGGTGCATGCGTACATGCCTGAGCGCAGCGCTTGCATGCGTGCGTGCATGACTGAGAATCGATTGATTCGGCGCGCGCCTCTCGTGCCCTCTTCTGCCTCGCTCGCTACGCCGGCCGGGTTCGGCGCTGGCTGCACATGCCGACCTCGCAGCTGCGATTGCAGGAGCCAAGCCAAGCCTGTGTGATGGATGCAGTCAGAGTGCAGTCGTGAGTGCAGTGCACCACAGCACCAGCCACACGCACCACTACGCCCATGAGACGAGATGCGGCGCGGCCCCTCTCTCTCACACGCACGCGTACAGCAGCAGCTCCATCGACAGTCATCATCAGCACAGTCAGCACAGTCAGCACAGTCAGAGTCACGAGTGCATGGGCTCCGCGTTTTGCAGGCGCGCGCGCGCACGCGGGCGCTTCTCTCTCTCTCTCCCTCGTCTCGAGATCGCTGCGCTTGCTGTGCGCGGGCTGTATACTCGTGACTGTAGAGCATCGCCTCACTGCTCTGGCTGGCGCTCTCGACGTGCACATTGCCTCCATCACTTTCGCAACGCTCACTCCCCACTCCATTCTCAGTCTCTCTCAGTTTTCCACGCTCCGCTCCCACTTGCGACTCTCTCTCATCGCTTCCAGCCAGCTGCCGTCTTACTGCGGCCAACGCGAAATCTCATCGTACGTCAACCACAGGCTTGGTGTGACGCATACACTCGCCTAGCACACTCGACCCACGCCCGCGCAGCCTTTGCAATCAATCCTGCACTACCCTCCCCGACTGTAAAGAGATGCGCTTCACCAGCACCTTCTATCTCGCCACCTCTGCGGCGCTCTTGAGCGTCGCTTCGTTGAGCTCTGCACAGAGCACGACTTCGGCAGCTGCGACGCCTCAATCGTCTTACATTCCCACTTCCGGAGCTTCTCCTCAATGCACGCAGTACATGTCCGATCTGAACAGCGACGATACGCTAGAGCAGTGCATCGCTCCACTGCTGGAAGCGACCAACTTTTTCGCAAAGTCGACCAACGACACTGCGCCATCCAGCATGGAGCTGACTGGCAGTCTGGACAGGATCTGCTCCGCTTCTGCTTGCGATTCGGGCACCATCAGAAAGAAGCTTTCGGACTTTTATAGCGCTTGCAGAGCAGAGGTGCAAGCTACTCAACAGCAGGTGCTCGAGGTGTACGACTTTTTGTACCTCATCAACCCTTTCCGTCAAGCCGTCTGCACAAAGGACGACTCGCAAAAATACTGCTTGCTGTGAGTGTGGCCCGCGCGCGCATACATTTGGGTGGGGGGTGGAGAGGAGGTGACAGCCATGAGTCTTGTCCCCATGTAGCGGGCAAGCGGGAGCCGGATTTTGAAGGCACGACGAGCGCTTGCGCCATCAGCCTGCTTGTCTTCTATCGACGCTAATCACCGACTCCCTCTAAACCCCCCCGCTCCGCAGCAACATCGCACCCACAGCGGCCAAGACGGCCACCACGAAGCGATCCCTGGGCACTGACGACCCCGAACTGTCGGGCGCTGCACGCCGACACGACGCCGTTCAAGTAGCCGAGGAGATTGTTCGTCGGCAAACCACCGTGGCAGCAGATGACAATCTGGACCAAGGTGTGGGCGCGACGGCAGCGTCTAGCAGCGCGGACACCAACATCGCCTTCTTGTTTCTGCAGCCAGATGCGCAGAAGGATGTGCTGTGCTCCAGCTGCACCAAGAACATCCTTGCGGCCTACATCGAGTTTGAGACTTCCATTCCTTACGCCATCGGTCTATCTCGCTCTAGCCAGCTAAAGGGTCAGTCGGACTTGTACAAGTCGGCAAAGAAGACGTGCGGCAACGACTTTACCGTTTCCATCAACCAGATTGCTGGAACGACTGCTTTCTCCGAGGTCAGCGCCGCTGGCAAGATGTTGGCTACCTCTGCCGTCGCCGCCATCGTCGCTCTGCTCGTCTCTGTCGCGCTGCTCTTCTGAGTGGGCTCTACACCGCATGCGCACCGCTTCTTTACTCCGTGATATCAAGAGCAGGTCTCGCATTACGGTCAAGATTGGTGCGCATCGCTCACATCGGCGCAACTACGCTACGCGCGTTGCCCTCTGTCCAGCCACTTTGTCCTCCCCCACGCCCGCCTGCTTTCCGTCACGAAGACCCGGGATCATTTCACGTCAAGACTGCGATGTTGTGTTTTTTTTTTTTTTGATTTCCTACTACGCCTTTTTCTTCCCCCCCACCCCTTCCCTCCTGTTGCGAACGCACACACCCCCAATCTGACTTTTTGTTATTTCCCTCTCTCTTGTCTCTTTGCGTGTTGTGTTCGGACCTCGGAGCGGCCAGGCGATTGCCTTGC